GTTCTGAAAAAGAACCCACACTATGCAGCCCTCATTTTCTACCTCTTCACTCTAAAAGGCATGGAAACAAGCCCTACTATTCCATAATCATTCCCAGGGATCTGCCAATGGACACTGCTGACTGCTATACTCAGTGCTGAAGGAGAAAAAAAATTGTCAGAGACTTAGAAGAGTCTTTGAAGTATTTTGGTCAGGCTGATCATCTTGATACTCAGTGCTAGAAATGATGCTTTGGATTAGTAATTTTCACATTCTGAGTTTACAGGAACACTGAGTCACCACAGCCTTTTCTCTTGTAAAGGTTTAAGTGGCATCAGAAATAGCAACTCTCCACAGAAAGCCCTTGGGAATATGAAAATATTCTCTCTCAAGAGCAAGAGCTCTTCTATGCCCCTTTTCTGCCTCTATATGCAGCCTGAGCACCAGGGTAGAGATTGCTTTTGAAAGTTTGCCCTATGTAATCTATTTCCTGGGTACCTAAGAGAACAACCGTTTTCTTCATGAAAACACAAAGAGGGGAAAGATGCTGCTGCTGTTCCAGTGGGAAGTTATGTCTAGCCCCAGAAAGCCTGGTGGCTGGGTCAGCTCAAGTACTCTCTTCATGCACTGCAGGCTCAGGAGGCATTGGGTTGCTTTGCTTTTTCTATGGAATTAGGGAGCCCATTGAAATTCTAGTGCACCCTTCCTTTTGTTTGTCACCAAGTCACATGGTTCTGTCTTCAGTGTCCTATTTTTCTTTCTTTTTTTTTTTTAATTTCTTTTTCTGAGGAAAAAAATTGGCCATTTAAATAAAGTTCTTTTCTAGTGAGTAAAGAGGTTTCTCGGAGCCAGAAATCACTCAAAAGAGAGTCTGTCGACCCTACCCATGGAAAAGCTCAGAGATTTCTTTAACTACTTCTTGCCAAACTTCCTAGTTTTGTGATTGGATGTTTCTTGGTTTAGCATTGTTTGGTGCTGAATACATTTTTGCAATTCTTTTGTTCTCTGCCCTAGAGCTTCCATTACCCTGGACTTCAACTCATTACCAAATTAAAGAATTCTTTTAGAAGATTTCTTTTAAGAGTCAGGTCACAACAGAAAGGGCACCATTCTGTTCTCCTAAATCTCAAGGGCATCTCAGGTTGTTTGCTCTTACGTTGCACCTTCCCTTTGTTACCTTTTGACTCAGCAGCACACTGGCTACAGCAGAGGCAGATCTGATTTGATGATCTGATACCTTTTCTGCAGAATCATATATCTCCTGCTCCCAGCCCCAACTAATCAAATAACATCTTCTAGAACAACAGAGGAAGGCACCAGAATGGGTGTTTATCCTGTGACTCCTAGGCAGATCTACCTTGTGCCCTGTTTTCCCAGGGGTCACAGGTGTTGGGAGCATTATGAAGGAGCTCCAACAAGGAAGCGACATAGCCTTTATTATGCTTTCTCAGGAATTGAATGGGTTTTATCAGGGGCATATCTCATTTTTGACTTCTGTGCTGAGAGAAACCATTGCGTTTGGGCATGGGCAGAGCATAGACTGCTGGTGTGCTTGTGTGAGGGAAGTACACGTAGCTCAAGGCTTTAGGACTGAATGTGAAACAAACATACCTGGAGGAAAACTTTTCTCTTTTCATTATCAGAATTCACAAATTCTTACTGTTCATGGGTTGAAAAAGAGTATTTGGGGATCTTATAGAATATTTTGGTGATACAAAATAAAACTCCTAGGACTTTTAAACAAAGCAAACCCAAGTCTTTCTAAGGCCAAGAGCTACTATGACTTCTAAGATGACTAGGAGCTAGAGTATGAGCAGGAAATTATCCAGCACACTTAATCATGGCACAGATAGATTCAAAGCATTAGGAATCTTGGAAGAGAACAGGCTATAAAACTGTTACTAGGAGCTAAAGTTTACCACTCAGTTAAAATATACAGGAAACCAATTTGATACAGACATTTTCATTTCAGATTTTTTTTTTTTTTTTTTTTTTTTTTGCTTAGCTATTTCTCAGATTTTCCCTATGTGTAGAGTTGTATCAGATCCATGTGTTCCAATTATTTATTTATTTTTTTTAGGATTACATTTCACACATTTGGGGGCCTTTGTTGTACAAATATTGGCATTTAATAAGGAAAAACTGCCCATGATGCTGAGATAATACCAATGTTTTTAATGCTAGAAAATAATATTTTTTTAATAAATTGTATCTAAATATCTTGAGAAAAAAAATTTCTCCTTTGACTTTTTCTCCTTTCCCTTATTTGGCAAATTTCATTTAAAAATTATAAATTGCTAAAAAATGTCCTTTCCAACTAGTTCTTCCTCCTTGTACTCATCCTAAGAAGTCTTAAATCTGGAACATCTGCTTTTATCTTATCTATCTTTTTCCTTGCTACTAAAAAGAAATTTTTTTTAGCACTGATATCATCCTAGCATGAAGATCTAAATGTAAGATGACTGTAGGACTTGAAACAAAAAAAACCCAAAACATCAAAAAGATCCACACTCATTCTCTGATTCTGAAGCAAAATATCTTTCCCTATTTCCAAAGATACTTGTGACTGTTTGATTTGAAAGTGAGAGTTGACAATCTAAAAGCATCTCTATCCTTTTGAAACAAGTCCAGACTGGTTTACTTCCTAAAATGTGGGTCAGTTTGGAAAGTGGCCATTTGACAGGCCAGGAATATGGCAATAAACAACTACCTTTTTGCTCCTCTAGATTAGATCTCCCACTCCAATCTAGCTTCTTCCTCTCTCCACAAAATAATCTGTCAGCTATTTTACAATGTGACGTGTTTGGGAAGGATAAATATACAGTAGGAATATGGCCACTGCTATGCAAACCTGGCTGGTCCATTTTGTCATGGACTACAATGATTATATCACCTTGTTAAGAATTCTTTAGGGATCCTCCTACTCTTTTTTTTTGAGATGCTTCCTTTACAGGGAAAGGATGATAGAATTCTTAGGGTTTCAAGTCGCCTGCAGCTTTTTCTTTATCTTTTGTTCTATCAAAAGAAAAGGTGGATTCTAACCCAATTGCTTAGCCTTTTACATGGCTAATCAGCATTAAGGCAAATGGGTCTCCCTCAGATTTGAGAAACAGATAGCTACATGTGGCCCATAATGGCACCTAAGATCAACTTTTCTGGAGGTATTAATGAAAATTCTTCCTACTTCGCTAAATTTGAACAAAGATACTTTCAAATTCATTACTGTTAAACAGTTAAAAATATTTTAAAGTGGCTTTTGGCCTTCTTTCATTTGTAACATGTATTGAGTGATTTCATGTCATTGTCTTCTAACTTTAAGAGTTTTTTTCTTAAGGTCAATTTCCCCTTTTTATTTTATGGGTGGAATCACTTGTTTTCCAAAATATCAAAACAATTCCATGACATAGTTAATTAACTAAGGCTCCCTCTATTGGTGGTAAGTGGAAATATTAGTCTTACAACAGTTATTTTGAAAAGCTACGTTAGCAATAGAAAAACGAACTTACTTGATTTTGGAAGCTGTTCCTCACTGTTAAAACAGGTCCATTTTGGACACATAGTTCTTGGTAGGATTCCTCTTAGAAATCATGATAGGTTAACTCAATAGTCATTTAACTACCCAAGTTTACATTAAAACTTGTTTCAAAATACCCACTTAATTCAGCACTGTGGGACCAAATCAAACTCACAAACACTTCAGTTACACTAACCTTACTAAGCATCACAACGAACTTATGAAAAAGATCCAAGTTAACCAAATGTCTAAAATATATGAATAAAACCAATTTAGTCATTACAGAGTTGTTTGTGTTGGAAGATTTTCTCTCGTTTGCCGCACAGTTTTTGTAAATAAAATGCTGACAGGAAAATTAGAAGGAAAATTAAATTAAAATGCAATGTAATTTTGAAACTAAAATACTCTCTCCTTTCTTCTTTTTAAAACTGTAGTTTGGTGTTTTGCTTTGTTTAAAGATTTGCTTTCCCCTAAGTGTGTTAAAATATGCCCAGAAATGAAATCACTTTGGGAGCTTTAGCTGGGTTTAAGAATTCCTATATTTGAGCTGGAATCCCTTCAGGACACTGTCTATAATGAAAATATCTCTATTATAACACCTTCATCAGGACCGAGGAGAGAAATCCCAACTAGGGAGAGAGAGTGGCATCTGGTATGATGCAATAGATTGGTGGCCTTTTGAATGGTGGATGTTGGCATCTGGGAATTTTTTGTTAATTTCCCTAAAACCTTTCCAAGAAGCAAGGGTTAATTAGTCATCTAAAGAATGATCATCTTATTTAGCCCTCTTAACCATGGTGGAAACAGTCAGAAGGTGATATTTGAAAGAAAAAAAGTAATTTTGGCATCAATGCATCTTGATCTGTAACAGGCTTCTCATAATGATGCTCTTTTGTAGTTGGGAAGGGTGAGGAGCTATGGCAGAGTTTTGTGAACTCCTCTTCCTGGCTGATCACAAAAGAAAAGACCCCATTTATTAAGACTTCTAGACTACTAGTGTTTCACCAAGAAAAAAAAGTAAAGTCAATAGAAATTCTAGGATTGTAAGATCTCAATGAAATTTTGGAGAAGCAAGCAATCTCTTTCTGAAAGATACAGTCTCTTCCATGAAAAAGAACAGAATTCTAGATGAATCAGTTGAAAAAATTATTCGGTGGGGCAACTTAAGCTTGCTAAAGTCAAAGAACTACATATCAAAATACAAAGCAGCAATTCAAATTACAGCAGGGATGGGCTGGCCACAGAGGCCCTCATCAACCCAGGCAATACTTAAAATAATAAAAATTAAGAAAAATTAAAAAAAATATGAAGAAAATATCCTTCCTCTCTTTCAAATATAACTTTAGTTGCCTTTTATTCTTTCTATCTGGAAGCAGTATCGCTAACCTTAACAGTCTTGACTTACCAAAAAATATATATATGTGTGTGAAATAAAAGAGAAGGAATTGGTGGCAGTGTATGCAAAACCAAAATGAAAAAAAATTACCTTTAACAATTTCACTTTTTTTGTTTTTTTTTTACACAAATACTGTTGTAAATATATTTAAAAAATCAGCATTCTATCTGGTAAACGTCACTTTTGCCCCTCTATAAAATTTTGAATTAAAAAAGCCTCAAGAACTTTTTATTGTTCCCCCCACCCTCCATTTCTCTTTCTTTTTCTCTTCCACAAGAATATATCTTGACACTTTTTTTTTTTTTGCAAAGATTGTTGGAAATAATCCTTCTCTTGTACCTAAAAACATAGGTGCAAATTTCTGATATCTTTGTTTTATCTGCATTCCTGCCTTTCATGAAAGTCCCTCTTGATTGTGCTGAGGCTGTGGCTCAGCGAAGACACTGAATAAATACGATAGCCACTGTTGCTTGTTGCTTGTCCAAGTCTTCCTGGCTTCTGCTGCAAGGGGGGATATGGAGAACGTGGGCCAGGGTGTGTGGACCCGGGCAGAATCTGGGGGAGAAGCCTGCCATTCGTCTTTCTTTCCCACACCACCGAACCCACTGCCCTTCCCACCCCCACAGCCCTTTTATGAAATCAGACAACGTGGTAGGCGGAAAACAGCAGGGCCTTTCCTCTGGATTTTCAACCAGAAGTGATATTCCACAGTTTTAACTGGTTACTGTGAAGTCCAAGCGGCCAGAATTGTGAAAATGTCCACTGAAACACTGCAAGCGGTGTACTTAAAGACAGTAGGCCTTTTAGATTTTGTTATATATTTTTTGTAGTGCTCTTCACAAGTGGAATTTTTTTTTTTTTTTTTACTTTTTTTTTTAAAAGATTTTTTTGTAAAGAAGGGTTGTATTTAGAGGCCAGTAGCTAGAGATCCAACCAGTGGACCTCTTGAAGCACTACCAGGCCTTAAGGCCACCATCCGAGGGAGACTGGGAAAACTATTATTCACCCAAGCCTCCAGAAATGTAATGTACCAGCAGGCAAAAAACAGTTCTTCATGTAGTACAAAATGAAACGAAACAAAAACAAAAACAGAAAGTAAAAATGAAACCAAAACATTTCTTAAATTCTAGTGCCATAGCTTTTTTGTTTGTTTTTTTGTTGTTGTTTTGTTTTGTTCATAAGAAAGAGAGAAAGATACTACTTATCCGTCAGACACATGCATCCTCATGTGGTCGTTGAACTGCTCGATTTGGTCAAACTTTGCTGGACAGACGGAGCAGACGTAAGTGGTCCCCTCCGTGCAGGCCACCACACCTGGGGGGCCAGCGCGGGCACCTGGGGGTGTGCCCGCAGGAGGGGTCCCATTGCTGGCACTGTGCAGGGCCACGTGTCGCTCCAGGAGGGTCTTGTGAGAGAACTTCTTTTTGCAGATGTAGCACTCGTAGGACTTCTCTCCCCGGTGGAGGCGCATGTGCACGTTGAGGGAGCTCTTCTGGGTGAAGCGCTTGTTGCAGATACTACACTGGTATGCCCGCACTCCTGTGTGTGTCACCATGTGCTTGATAAGGTAATCCTTTAAGGAGAAGGAGCGCCAACAGATGCTGCATTGGTGGGGCTTCTCACCTGTTGATGTAGGAAGAGACAGCAAGCAGGACAGAGCGAGACATAGCAAGGGACGGAGAATGAAGGACAGGAAACAAGACAACAAAAAAGAAAAACAAAAAAATTAAAAAAATAAAATCTGATCCCTTAATGGATCATCCTTGATTGGAAAAATCCAGGCCCTCCTAGCCTCTCATGTGCAGGGTAATTTTGCTTTATGGTGATGCCAAGACAGTTTTGTTTTCCATTTCCCTATGCCATAAAATGGCTCTCCTGGAAAGCTACCAGATATTCCCCACTAAAAGTCTTCAAAGGTCATTCTGTGGAAAAGGGAGGGCTACTTTTGAAGGGGGTCACTTTCAGTGATCTGATTGGAGGATTTAGTGTTTCCCATTAACATTAGAGAGAAGAAAGATCTTTGGAGACATGGGTGCTCTAGAATTCTTGATAACCAAGAACATTGGTCATACAGCTTGATTCCTTGGGGAAAGTTCCCACTTCTAGTAGTCTGTCTAATAAATACACCTATGTTTTGATGATGAGTTTGGAAAATATTTGCCAACATAGGAATAAGTCATTTTGAAGAGCTATACTTTCAAGTTTGTCTACTTTAGACATAAATCTTCCTAACAGGTAACTTAAGGGTTAATTGCCTGTTCTCTATTGACTGTACTGAGCTGGAGAGTGGCCTCAGCAGGTGTGGAGGCTGAGTAGAGAGTGGGCAACATGATGATATCAGACTCAAATGGTCCTGTTCAAATCTGGGCACCAACACACTACACACCATTCTGACAAATCACCAAATGCCTCTGAGGTATACAGTCTTACTTACCTCACTGTGCTGGTGTTGACATAAAATACATATGAAATCACTTTGCAGACCACCGAGAGCAGTGTGGGAATACATGCATGGTGTTCTTATTACAAGGCTACCTCCCACCCCCATTAAATGCTTCCATATGGTTTTTGAACTCTTGGGTCAGTTTTTAAAATAGTTTTCCTGCCTCCTCCTTTGTTCTCAGCCTGTTGGCAGAAGCCCTTCTTTCTCCTCAGTTTAGTGCTTTGGCTTGGCTTAGAAACCAAATGATCAAGTTTGTTACAAACAGTGAGGTAAGTAACAATACCCAGTCACTGAATGACCACATGAGGTATTCTTAAAGTCCATGGGCCTGTGACATCTCTTTAGATAATTACTTAAAGACTTGCTTTGTTTGTGCTGTTTGTTCTCAGCTCTGCTTCTGGCAGGTGAGATGAACTGCATTAAAGTGTTTGGTCCATTTCTACCATCTTATTCCTGACTGCCCAGTGTAGGCACTTACCTCAGAGAAAAATGTCCTTCTTCTACATACTCTTCCATGACCCAAACTAAAACCCAAAGCCTCTGAAACTCCTTAGGGTAATACTTCAACATCTGAACTATGCATCAGGGTAAGAAATCTTAAAATTTGAGCTAACTTCCATTTAAAATATATGCCTTGACTGTTTTTCCATTTTTCCCATTATCAAATAGAAGAGCTTCGATGTATTATGGTAATAGCAGCAATAAAAACAATCACCATGTATTGAGTGTTTACTACGTGGCAGGTTGGTATTAAGTGCCGTATGCTCATGATCTGTTTTATTAAATTTTCTCTCATCAGGAAGATTCTTTTTTGTTGTGTTTTCAAACATAAATAGATAGGCTTTGAAGCATACTGACCAGACAGTATGATGCATAAAATCACAGGGTTAGAAGAGAAGAATTTTACTTTCAGATTAAAACAGGAAAAGTTAGGGATGCCTCATTGCTAATAATCTCAATTTGCTGAAGACCTCAGTCTATGCATAGTGTTTATATTGGTACTTTTTTTTTTTTTTTTTTTAAGTAAGAGATTCCCTAAGAGAGACAGTCATGCACGTTTTTAGCTGAAAGATTTCTGTCAGCTGTAAACATGCCTGGAAGTCCGCTGGTCTTTGGTATCCTCATGCTTTCAGAAAATTTATAGAGGCTATGATAGGCTGGCCAATTGTCATTTAAATCGTGTCCGCCTGTCACCTTTTATGGGAAGCGTACCTTCCAGATGGTATTTTGGCTGCTAGGAAGTTGAAACTTCACCTATGTTAAAATGCTCTGCTGTTTGAAACTTTTACCTTCTGTGTGTTCTTCCTTGAGGCAAGGTCACCGATGAAGCCTTTTTATTTTCACACTCTCTTAATCTGTCTATAAATTGATTCTTCACAGTTGTCATGTTTCTCTCCATAGCATATATAGGTATGTTGTTTGTATGCATGTAGTATTGGTTCTACCATTAATTACCCATGTGACCCTGGGCTTTTTAAGTGTTTTCATCTCTCTGGGTTTGTTTCACCTTCCGTATGTGAAGAGTTGAACCAGGCACTTGTCACATGGTCCTTTGCAGATTTAGTGGTCCTCAGACCATGGTGGACCACAACCCCTGAAGACTCTAATCCTGGCTTTGTCAGTGAATGACCTGAAGGCAACCTGCTTAGTCACTGAATGTATTCACAGTCCCACGTTTTAAATAAGACAAAGTATCCTGTTTCCTTCTCTGCCACAGAACAATGGTACGTTACTTAATAAGGAGAAATGTTTGCAAAGCACTTGGGAGCTTCTTAAAGGAAGGTGCTCTCTACAATTATTAAGGTGCTATGATGGTGGAGTATAGGTATTTCAGGAACGGTCTTACTAAATGGGGTATATTTTCAGATTAGTGAGGTGCTCACAACTTTCATTCTGCATGTATAAATTTGAAATACAGTCACCCAGCAGGAATGAATTATTGTGTTTCAATAAAAAATTTTTTCGCACTATTTTCTTGCATAGTACTTACAGCAATCCCAAAATGGTTTTAGACATTATACATAAAATGGATGAGGTCTGTTGATTGTTGCTCTCCAAGTAAAGAAGGGAAAAGTGAAGATAAGTGGTCAGAGATGGCTTTCCAGGTTTAAGCCTATGGTCAGGAAATGGCAAGCCTGATTTGTCAGAAAGGGACAAAGAGTAAAAAGTGGATACTTGAATTATAACATCAAGGGGAAGGTCATATAAATTTCTTCACTTTAAAATGATCCATTTTGGGGCTATATAGATGTAGGAGTCAGATATGAATTCTATTTCCTTGGCTGAGTGGCTTGGGCATGTAATGTAACCTCTATAAGCCTCAGTTTCCTTATCTATAACTTGAGAATAATATAGTAAGTACCTGTCTCATGAAGGTGTTTTCAAAATTGAAGAGATAAAGCATTTAGTACAGAGTATGTGGTCATTTTAAGAAAAATTAAACTGTTCCATTCATCATGAAGGAACCAAGGATAAATGAAATCAACTGCAAAATGATGTGCATGGCATACAGAAGCCAATCCTGAATTAAAAAAAAAATTATTTCAGATAATCAATAAAACCAGTGATTATATTGCAGCTATGTAATTCAGAGTTTAGCGTATAGTCTACTCTCTCAAATATATATGCAAAAGGCAAGAAGTGGTATATGGATAAGATGTCAGCACAGAGCACAGGGAATTTCCTAGGAAAGCAGGCACTGAGCATTAGAGGCACAGAAACCAAACAGCAAGGGAAGAAATTGAGGGGGAGGTGGTGTCCTTTACTGCTTGTCAAGGGTGTTGGGCATGGTAAAAGTATACATTTTTCTCAAATTTTCAATGCCTCCTCATCACCTTCTTCTCATGGACCAGCTCTGACACTTACTCTGCCATGACTGACAAGTGGAAAAAAAAAGAGTAAGATACTGCTTAGGTTAGAAGATGCAAAGGGTTCTGCCGTAAGCTCACAAAGTTCAAGTAAAAGCCATCCTAATGGGTACAGACACCCAATTTTGAATAGCAACCTCTTGCTCTGGGGGCTCAGAAAGAACCCACTTATTCTACTGATTTTTTCCCCATTTTAACCAGGGCTTCTCCTGAGCTGTGAAAAGGACGATGAATGCTGTTATCAGGAGATTTTTCAGAAGCACTGTTGCTACCTGACTCTCCTGTTCTCTCTGCCTCCCCATCATCTGCCCTAGCACAATGCCCTCCTCTTTCGTGAGTATAGTGACAGGTCAAAAAACCGAGGCAGGGTGCTTGATGAGACAGCAGGCAGCAAGGAAGCAGGAGAAAGAGGAGAAGGTGGGTAACGGAAGGTGGCCATGGGTGAGGAGAGCAGAAGGAATACTTGAAAGTGCAGGTCCTCTGAATGGGGAACATTCAGACTTGACCAGAAAATGGGAAAGGTTCAGTATTAACAATGGAAGTCCGCTCAGATGGAATCATATGGAGCTTTTACTGGCTGCAGAGTCTAGTCTCCATCCAGAGAAGTCTGGCTAAAGGGGGGCCCACATGCCTGAGATATCAGTGGTGTGACCGCCTGCCAGCCTTTCTGTTCATTCCCTGGGGATGTGATCATGTTGCCAGCTTGGACTGTGAGGCTAAGAGGGACTCCCTATTGGGAGTATGTTGCATTCACAAAATATCTGTGGCTTCAGTGACAACTAAGATATTTTAGTTTTCAGCAGAACTTTAGAGAGTTCCACCCATGTTACTTGACTTTTCTTACAACTTTGTGACCAGAGTGGATATCAACATCCCCAGAAGATAGTATATCCAATTAGAGAGTTGTACTAACATCTTGAAGGTCACCTAAGAAGTCAGTCACACCTGAGAATACAGTACCAGCCCAACCAGATTATCTTCCTCTCCTGTTAACAATTCCTTATCTGCAAAATGTATAATGCTACACTATAACACATTAATGGCTGTGATAATTTTACAGCATTCATAATTAAGTGTTTTCATATAAATTATGTTATTTAATTCACAGAGCAACCATTTAAAGTAAAAGATCTGAAAAACTGAGGCTTAGGTTGACTATAGAACTTACCCAAAGTCACTCAGTCAGAAAGTGATAATATCAAGGCTTTCTCACTACAAGCCTTATACTTGTTCCTTTACATCCACTGGCTTGATACAATTAGTAGTCCAAGCTCCATATGAGGATTAACACATTATCTTGATATGACTGTTAT